ATGAACTGAATGTTTATGTTCCTCCCAAATCCATATGTTGAAGCCCTAACCCCCAGTGTAAAGGTATTTGAAGATGGGGCTTTTGGGAGGTAATGAGGCTTAGATGAGGTCATAAGGGTGGGGCCCTCATGGTAGGATCAGTGCTCTTTTTTTTTTTTAAGATTTATTTATTTGAGGGGTGGGGGAAAGCACGCAAGAGTAGGGGGGAGTGGCAAAGGGGGAAAGAGAATCCCAAGCAGACTCCCCGCCAAGTGTGGAGTCCAACATGGGGCTCAGTCTCACGACCCTGAGGTCATGACCTGAGCTGAAACCAAGAGTTCAGACGCTCAACCCACTGAGCCACCCAGGCACCCCAGGATCAGTGCTCTTATAAGAAGAAATACACAGCGAGTTTGCTCTTTTCCTATTCACCATGTGAGGACGCAGCAGGAAGGTAGCTATCTGCAAACCAGGAAGCCAGCTTTCACCAGAACCCAACCGTGCTGCCACTCTGATCTCAGACTTCCAGCCTCCAGAAAAGTGAGAAGATAAATTTCCATTATTTAAGCCCCCGAGTGCAGGGTATTTTGTTATGGCGGCCAGAGCAGACTAAGACAACAATGGGAAGACCTTTATGACTGTGAACTTTATGGAGCTCTGTATTGGGCAGGGGGGCGCGGTTCTGGCATGGGGCGCAGATTCTACCATGAATTAGCTACTTGCCTTTGGGCTCTTCCCTTGTAACAGCATAGGGGGTACAGGGACATTTCCAGGCACCATTCATACAGACTAGGACCCATCCTGTCCTAATGTTTGACCTTTTGTTTCTTCATCTATAAAAAAAAAAGGATGAGAAATGGAACATGGTATCTAACAGCAATTCATTTATTCTTTCAGCAGATATTTGTTGAGAATTGACTGTGTCTGAGGCACAGAGCCAGGTACTCGGAGACAGAGCATTGGAACAGGGTCTTGCCCTCCAGGAGTTTACAGAAAGGCACTTACAGCTTCCTGTGAGCAGAGTCTCTGTATTAGTCAGCTAATTTGCCGTAACAAAACATCACAGACTCAGGGGCTTAAACCACAGACCTTTATTTCTTATAATTCTGGATGCCGGAGGTCAGGGTACCAGCACATTGGTTTCCCCTGAGGCCCCTTCTCCCTGGCTTGCAGACGGCCTCCTTCTCTTCATGTCCCCTGTTGGCCTTTTCTCTGTGTGCATTGCTGGTGACTCTCCCTCTGCTTTTAAGAATACACGGGAGGGCGCCTGGGTGGCTCAGTTGGTTAGGCGACTGCCTTCAGCTTAGGTCATGATCCCAGGGTCCTGGGATCGAGTCCCACATCGGGCTCCCGGCTCAGCGGGGAGCCTGCTTCTCCCTTTAACCCTCTCCTCTCTCATGCTGTTTCTCTCTCGCTCGCTCTCTAATAAATAAATAAATAAAATCTTAAAAAAAAAAAAGAATACACGGGAGACTCTTAATCAGAGGAAACAGACTGAGGGTCACTGGAGGGGAGAGGGGTGGGGGGATGGAGTAACTGGTCGATGGGCATTTAGGAGTGCATTGATGTAAGAGCACTGGGTGTTATATGCAACTGATGAATCACTGACATCTGCCTCTGAAACCAATAATACATAATGTTAATTAATTGAATTTAAATGAAAAAAAAGAATACCAGTCATTGGACTGAGAGGCACACCCATATGACCTCATTTAACATTAATTACCTCTTTAGAGATTCCATCTCTAAATACAGTCACTTGGGGCACCTGGGTGGCTCAGTCAGTTAAGCATCATGGGATCGAGGGTCCTGGGATCCAGTTCCGCATCAGGCTCCCTGCTCAGTGGGGCGTCTGCCTCTCTCTCTGCCCTCCCCCAGCTTGTGTGCGTGCTCTCTCTCTCTCTCAAAAATAAGTAAATAAAATTTCTAAAAAGTAATTAAAAAAATAAATACAGTCACTTTCTCAGGCATATTGGGGGTTAGGACTTCAACACATGGATTTAGGGGGAGGTCAGAGTTGAGTTCCTAACAGCCTCTATGACCAGGAAAGAAAAGGCACTGTGGAAGTACAGAGCAGGGGCATCTCGCCCAGACTTGGACTACCCGCAGCCTCTCGAGGAAGAGATCTAAGTTAACTGAAGGATGGGGCTGGCGGCAGGGGCTGCTATTCTGAATAAATATACTCTGTGAAGCACAAGCCTTGTATATTTCACTTTTTTGTGGCCTCTGACTTTTTTTTTTTTTAATGTGTTTGGCCTTTGGTAGGAATAACAAAGAGGAACCCAAAAACATTCCAGAAGCCAATGTGCCTTGGGCAAGCCACCTTTCCTTTTTTTTTTTTTAAGATTTTTATTTATTTATTTGACAGAGAGAGACACAGCGAGAGAGGGAACACAAGCAGGGGGAGTGGGAGAGGGAGAAGCAGGCTCCCCGCCGAGCAGGGAGCCCGATGCGGGGCTCGATTCCAGGACCCTGGGATCATGACCTGAGCTGAAGGCAGACGCTTAACGACTGAGCCACCCAGGCGCCCCGCCACCTTTCCTTTTTGCCTCAGCTTCCTTCTTGGTATAATCAAGCACTCCGCATTTATTATTTCCCAGACCTTAATGTGCCATGATTCTAGGGAAATCCTTAGGTATATTCACAGTTACTTCTCTAAAATACTGGGTTGACAATTCAGAAGCTTGGGGAAAGGGAGACATGGATTCTGTAGCCAAATGCCATATTAACTTTTGGAGCATTATTAAGATCTCTTCTCTCTGTTTTCTAATAAGAACATGTAGATAAAGGGGAGCCTGGTGACAGGAGTAAATCCAGACTCTCACACCAGCTCTGCATGACTTACCTACTCCAGGGTGACTTTTGCTCTGTAGGCCCCGGTGACGTCTGTGGGAAGGGGGTACAGGGCTGCAAAAGCAATGGATGCCCATTGTGGGAAAAAGTAAAACCCAACATGACACAAAGGTATTATGTGAAAAAGTACATTCCTTTTCTCGCTCCCAGCCTATACCGTAGGGGAAACCACGCCTCCCCGTTTTCCACATCTTCTAACTTACGCTGAAATATATGTATTTGTTTTTCTTTTTTTTTACAAAAACAGGGTGATACTACATATGTTGTCTGGCACACAGGAGTGTGACAGCACCTGGCTCCAGGGGTCCCAAACAGACCAGGCTCAGCCAGCCGCCACTGACAAAATCCAAAGGCAGAGAAACAAATGGTGGTGGAACAAGAAAGGAATTTATTTATTTATTTATTTATTAAAGATTTTATTTATTTAAAAGAGACAGACACAGCGAGAGAGGGAACACAAGCAGGGGGAGTGGGAGAGGGAGAAGCAGGCTTCCTGCTGAGCAGGGAGCCCGATGCGGGGCTCAATCCCAGGACCCTGGGATCGTGACCTGAGCCGAAGGCAGATGCTTAACAGCTGAGCCACCCAGGCGCCCCAAGAAAGGAATTAAAAAAAATTTTTTTTTTAATAATCTCTATACTCAGACCTGGGGGCTCAAACTCATGACCCAACATCAAGAGTTGCATGCTCTTCCGACTGAGCCAGCCAGGCACCGTGCACAAGAATGGAATTTATTTAAATGAAGCCAACAGCGGGAGGAACACAGAGTAGCCTCTAGAAGACTATCTCCAAAAGGCTGAAACTACTTCCAGGTTTATATAAGGAAAATGTGGGGCAAAGGTGGGCGGGTACCTGCAGGTAGGCAGTGAAGGTCAAAAGGATCAGTGTCCTGGAGTCAACCCTGGGAGGGGTCTTGTAGGCTCAGGGCAGTCCTTGCTGGTCAGGGGATAGTTTTGGCTCCCATTAGCGGATGCTCTGCCCTCAGGGTCTTCCGCCTGAGCCAAGAGACAAACTGGAAAGAACCCAACTAGAAAAGTTTGAGGTCAAAACGGAGACAGCCCAAGTCCTCTTTCAAATAGATCTCTAATTGTCTTTTACTCAATAAAGTGGCATTGACATTCATTCTTCTGTCCCCATAAAAAAGAGTAGTTCTCTTTCTAAAGCCTATGTAGTATGCTAGCATGTGTCATTTATTGAACAATTTTTCAAAACCCCTCCCATTTTTTTGCTAACATGAATGATCCTGCAATGAACATACTTGTAGATGTAGCTTTGGTTGAGTATTTCCCCTCGAAGGATTCCTAGAAGTAGAACCACTGGATCTCGAGTTCATGTTTATGAGGTGTTTCATTGTACAGAAAAAATTTTAGGTCAAATAAGACCCCCCAAAAATGTGTGTATCTATGTATGTATACCATTTCATTTAAAAAGTCTTGACTCACAGCATGAAATAATTTCTTAAAAATTGGCCGGTTACTAGACTAGTATGTCTTCTTTTTCTTCTTTTTTTAATGGGCACTGATTGTCTGGGAAGCCAGCCTCCCCTTACTCCCTGCTTCCTGACAGTCGGAGCTGTGTGATCAGCGTGGGGACTCCTGACTGCAGGCCCGTGGGCGCCCCTCTGGGTGTGGGGGCCCTGGTGGCTTCTACGCCTCCAGCCAGCACTCTGGACTCAGAATGAGCTATAGTTCAGATTGGCATTTGTTTTCTCAAGGGCTTGAAATTGAGAGTGGGATTGCAGCAATTTTCACTCTTCCTAACATTTCTTTTTGCAGAATCCTATTGTGCAAGCCAGATATCCAACTAAAATCAGATCTTAATGGCTGTGTTGGGTACTTAAAATCTCAGGCTGCTATAAATTATTAAATAGGCCTCAACACAGAAGAAGAACTGCCCAGCACAAATTCTCTGCAGCTTTTTCATTCAAAACTTAATCTTTTCCCCCATATTTGGGTCGTTTACCGGCTCCGGATTCCGGTAAAGGTAGGTCTCCCCGCTCCCACCCCCCCAGCACACAAGGGGTTAAACTTAACTCCCGGAGCCTAATTTCCCAAACAAAAGCCAGTTTTGCAAGTTATTTTTCAAGGTGTGTCTTTCCATAAGTTCTATTTAATAAAGTTAATACATGTTCCCACTTCCCTTCTTTTTTTCCCTTCTTCTCTGTTGTCAGTATTCATGGAATCTGGATCTGTCAGCTACTTATGTTTGAAGTGGAAGAATTGGCAAAATTATACATCCAGCAGGCAAGAAATAAAGTGGAAATGTCTCACAAGTAACACTGAAATCTGTTGCGTTGTTTTAAGACTTAACTACTGAGAAAAAAAAAAAAGCCCTACTAAATATTGTCTTGGCAACTATAAATATATTTTAGCGATGATAAAAACCTTTAGAATAGCAGCTACAAGATATCTGAAACCTAATGCCTATCTGTCTGCCACTCTCAATTATATATATTTATATTCTATATATCCCATTCTTCATTAAATGCTGTGCAATTTTCCTTTTGAGTTGCTGTAGTGTTTTATGTGAATCCTTTATATGGCCAAGGAGCCAATTTCCCCCCCTGCTGCATTTTACTCAGGTAAGATTGGAAATGAGCTCGTTAGATCAATTGCTACAACTCTAATTTGAAAACTTGAAAAATGCATTTCTAACTAAGAAATTTCCAATCATGCAGATATCTAAAACTCAGTTTTCTTTGTTTTTTTTTTCAGGTCTTTCCACACATCCCCATGAACCAGGAACTGTCACTCCTACTGACTTCTTAGGGTTGTGTTGGGCAGGAATTGTGTTTTTTATACCTCATTCCTCTCCCCATCTTACTCCATGTTTATTCATCTTTTTTCAGAAGGCATTACTTTTATCCACTTGCACTTTCAGACCTATTTTTTTTTTTCAGAGCTATTATTTTTTAAAGCCTCCAAAATACAAGTTAGATACAGTTATTCCAGTGCAGCTTTGGAGGTTGTTTTCACCTTCATATACTATTTTCCCTTATGAAACAAAACAAAAAACATACAAAACCATTTGAGGGTAGGCCATTTCCTAGATAGCAATGATTTTCATTTCCGTTAATAACTTATTTGGAATGAACAGCTTACTTTGTTAAGTAGATTGATCCAGTTATGCAAATTAAGATGTGTAATTTACAATAATACTCAAGGTCACTTTGTTATTTTCTAAGATGTTTTTAAAAAGTCAGCCGTCAGGTAAGCACGCTGCTCGCTTTAGATGCTATTTATTAATAAAATTATTGTATTTGGTTTCAAATATGAACAAAGAAATGTTGGTTTCTATTATTTTTATTTCTATTGTTTTACTATTTAATTTCTCCTTAAATACCTCGGTTGTTACTGTGAAAGGGCTGAAGATACAGATCTTCACAACACATATCTCATCTAATCCCCTTTGTAAAAATGTAACAAGGTCATTTTACATTTTTAAACCACTTCTGCCAAGTGGTTTAAAAATGCAAAGTGAGCTTAAATGCTACTCTTAACTTCCTAACTCTTCTACCGGGAAATCCTAGAAAACTGAACTAATGAAATGCAACTTATACTCTTTAAATTCTAATTATAACTGTCAAATTAAATTGAAGGTGAGACTAAAACCTCTGTATCTGTTAAGTGAGTCAAGCGATGTCCTGGATCATACGTGTTATTTAATGTGCAAGTGTAAAAGTCAAGTTCCCGGCAGAAATCGAAGTGCCTCCATTCTGTCTTCTGGGAATGTATAAATTAACCATTCTCCCCCAAGCGGTCCTCCTCCCTTCCTCCCTCCGCCCTATTTTAAATGTAGATAGGGCGTCTCAAGTCTTTTGAATTTGAAGGGCTGCTATCTCGGCCCCATTCTTTTCATCATCCTGTTTTGAATGACACTGAGCACGTATAGATTCTTTTATAAAAGCACCCCCTGGATGCAGAGCTCGGTTCTCCCGGAGGCTTGCTAATTTTGCATAGCAATTAGTACTGACTTCTCAAAATGGGCTATCCAAATGCAGCCTCCAGAATGTTCCACGTAGTTCCTCAAAGGTCTTAGATAACCGTGCGCCTTTTGATTTCAAACCCGAAGGGAAAGAACTTGCATAATTACTAAATTCCCAATTGGAGTGGCCCGGAGGAGGACACGGTAATCCAAAACTCTTACGTTAATTCAAACCCTCCCCGCAACTGGGCAGCAAGGAGCCAGCATATGCCTTCTTTTAAAATCTATTCTACCTATTCACTGACCGCGCAGGGCTGGGCCACATGGCTCTCTCTTGCAGCCAGTCAGCTGTGAGCAGCAGATGGGATCATTTGCATTTTTCTTTTTATATTTACTCCGACCGGCAAATTAAAGGCTTTATTAAAAAATCTACATTCTCATTGTTTGCCTAAAATACAAAAGTGGTTTAACTGTTGGATTGGGCTTCCCTGACCTTCACACGCCACACCCCTTCAAGTCACTGAGAGTTAAGAAAATACCCGAGGGGTAGGTTTCGTATTTATCAACTTGCAATCTACAGTCCGGGAGTTAGGAATAGAAAGAATCAGCCTTATTGAATTGGTGACTCGTGTTTTTCTATTTTCAGCGCTCGGCGCAGATACCCCGTGGGTTTGTCTGTGGCATGTGGGTCTGCGAGCGCGCGCACTTCTGAATCTCTTGCCCTGTAGCCTCAAACCTCAAAACTTCGCGTTACAAGTAGAAGGCTGATTTTCAGCCCAGGCTTACAACAGAGGGCGGCCACCCTGCCGGGGGAGTGGCCAGAGCCAGCGTTTCCAGCGTTTCCCAGCGCCGGGGTCGCTCCCCCGCGCCCCGCCAGACTCCATGCCGGCTTCGCGGGGCTCCGGCGGCCCACTCGGGTCCCCGCGCCCCGAGGTCTTTGTGCGGATCGCGGCGCGGGAACACCCGCCCGGGGGGCCAGGGCCACGACCGGAATGCCAAAAACTGGGGAGAGACGCGGGCGCGAGGGGAGGAGACGACCCGCAACAGTCGCCGTCCCGCGGAGGAAAAAAAAAAAAAGTAGAAAAAGAGGCTTTTCAGGTCAAACTCCTCGGGTCTGAGCAACCACGTTTTAGAGCAATGACTCGTGGGGGGAGAACACACGGTGTGCAGGGGACTTTGTTAGGCAGCGCTGCCCGGGCGCGCCGTGGGTTTCACGGCCGCCGCCCCCCGTCCCCCGCCCCCCGCGCGGGCCC